AAATCCTCCTCCAAAATCTTACAAAGTTCCGGCTTTTTCCAGTTATCAATGCACCAAAAATCCAAAACAAGTCTCTGCTTTGACATCTCCCTGACAATGGTCTTTAAGGGGGCCCATCAGAGACTGACCATCCATACATAAGCCCACATAATGAGTTCCTCAGCCTTGCTTATAATCTTCAAAAGGTCTTTCCAAAGCAGTGAATCTCCACGTTTAGGAGAGCAGGTTAGGGGATGAGAGTGCTTCAGGTATCTCAGTCCCATGAATTTAGCCCATAACCCCATTTGAGCTCTCAACTTGATCCAAAGTCTGTAAAAAATTATTTTCATAGATTGTTGCAGAGATCTAAACCACACACCAAAGCTTTCTTGGGCTTTCACAATCTTTCCCAGGCGGGCAGTGCATTCAATGTCCCTTTCCTGCCCATAAAATCTTGTTCAAAGCTCTTACAATCTTCCCTTGCATGACACTTGCAAGATATATAAAGGAAAGGAGGTGAGAACAGATTGGAGAAGAGTAATCTTGCCACCAAAAGACAGCAACGAGTTCTCCTCCCAACTAAAAATCCTTTTATTAATCTTATGCAATACCCCCAAACTATAGACTTATTTTTCTATTGTTATGTTATTGAATACCCAAATAATTAAAAGGGAGATTGTTGGTTTTTATGTTAGTGAGCTGAGTGATCCAATGCTTCTTCTCCACACTGATCCCTTTGCTCAAGAAGCACACAATTAGTTCTATTGAACTGCATCCCAGAAACTCTCTCAAAGTGAGTTAATATATTTATCAGCTGCCTGATATTTATCTTCACCAAATTGCAAAAGATAATATAATCATCTTCATAAGCTAGATTAAAAAATGAGCCACCTCCGCTTTTAAGAAAGCAAAAGATAATATAATCATCTTCATAAGCTAGATTGAAAAATGAGCTCACCACCTCCGCCTTTAAAATCCTAGAAATATAATCCATCGGTGATATAAAAAGAGTGGGAGATAAAGGATCTCCTTGCTTCAAACACCTAACAGCTTTAAAACACGTATGTTGTTCCCAAATGATCAGGATGGAGTAGTGGTTATGATCTAAGCAAATCATTATAAGATTGTAAAAACATTCAATAAAACCTTTGGCCCACAGCACAATTAGGATGAATTGCCAGCTTATACTATCAAATGCCTTAGGTCTGATTTAAGCACCCCGTTACCTCCTCTACATGTCATCCATATCATGTATAAGCTCCTAAGCTATGAGGAAATTATCAGCTATGCCCCTACCAGCGATAAATGCAAATTGTTGAGAACATGCCACATCATTTAGGAGGGGTTGAAGCCTAACCAAAAGTTTACTAATAATCTTAGAAACAACTGTAGTTGGACGAATTGGCTTAAATTTCTCCCATCTGTATCTGAAGATTTCCTTGGGGATGAGTACAATACTAGAGCTTCTAAAGTACCTATGAGGTAGTTGTCACCTAAAGAACTGGTGAACGACAGGAATCAAGCTTTCTTTAATGGTATCTCATGAATGGATATAGAACTTAGAGGTGAAACAATCAGGACTAGCAAATTTTTGGCATTAATAGAGTTTAGTGCAACCCAAATCTCCTATTCCAAGGTGTAAGCTACTCAGCTGTATATTTGTTGTAAGGTTGTCAACATTTGGGATAATATTAGTGTCCAATTCCTCAAGATTAACATCACCACTAAAATAGATTTTGAAAATATTTAATTGCACTGGCACAAATATCCTGCTGTGAACATATTGAATTCCCTTGCACTTCCTTGATTTTTAAAATGTCCTTAGTTTATCTGTTATGTTTAATACATGCATGAAATTACTGTGTTTTTATCCCCCTCTACATGACTGAGGTAGTTTGATTTTTGCTCGTAGATGTGAGTTTCCAGATGAATAACATCATTTAGTGAGCTCTGTGCATTGACTACCTCCCATCTCTTGGACCAAACCTTGCCCAAATTGCTCCTCCATATCAGCAACCAAGCATTCAGGCGCCTTCACCTTTTTGTGGATTTCATCAACGCTATTCCAACTCAACTATTCAACTTAGTAAACAATTTTTTTGTGCTAAGCCCATACACTCACCCATGGATTTGCATGCTTATCATGCCTCCAATTATCTCACCAACGCATCAAAAGTTGGATGTGACGTCCACACATTTAAAAATCTGAACTCTTTAATTAATGGTTTGGATACAACCTCCATTTTAATTAATAATGGGGAGTGATCCAAGCAAGATCTGCTTAACTAAGCCGCCTCTATGCACTGAAAGTCATCCAGCCATTGTTGATTTAGTAGCACTCTATACAGCCTCTCAAAAACTTTCCCCATTCTTGGAGTAAACCTGCTGCCAGTAAAAACTGTTTCAAACAATCTAGAAGAAGCAATTGCTCATTGAACCTATACATGATTCTAGGACATGGAGATCTTCCACCTTTCTTTTCAAGGGGAAAGGCAATGACATTGAAATCACCCCCAACTAATCAATGACATCTGCTATGACCCCTGCAGCTGTGAAAATCAGCCCAAATAGATTCCCTATCAGATGCTAAGCAATCAGCATAAACTATAGCTAACTGGACTGTTTTGTCACAGAAATTAACTTCAAGCTGAAGAAATTGAAGATTATCATTAACTAAACTGACCTTGATATCATGTTTACGTAAAAACTGAATTTTAAGATTACAACTATAGACATTGTTGTATCTACCGAGCCTTTTGACAGGTTTTGGAATATTCTATATTGTAATCATTGGCTCAAGTAAAGCAAAACACTTCAAATGATGAGACCAGCAAAGGCTCACCACCTTGTTAAAGGCATCCCTCTTGGCAATGCCTCTAACATTCCATATCATAAAACAAACCATTATTAATGGTTCTACACCCCTAGTAATCCTAGAAGGTGAACCATCATCTAGATTTGCCAAGGTACCAGTTGAAGAAATTCTTTTGAAGCTTAAGGTAGCGTTTTGGTCCATGTAGTTCAACTCCCTATGTGTTTTCCCTTTCTGTTTCTATGTGTTATCCCTTTTTGTTTTTTTTTTTTTTGTTTTTGTCTTCTGAATCTGCCATTCACCCTTCGAAGCATCCGGACAGCCTTCAAATCAGCTTCCATCAATCTGAATTGTGTTTCCTCTATTTCAAATTGTGTGTGTTCAATTTGGGTGCCCTCAGCATGCCTATGATTCCCTATAAATTGCTCAGCATTCCTCAATGGTTCCCACCTCTATATTTTGTTGTTATTGCCTTTGTTCATTTTATGTGTCCTGCCTATAAACATTTTGATTTCTTAGCTCAGGGTGTGCCACAAAACACTTTTATCGAAAATGTCCAAATATTCTGGATTTTTTACAGTATTTACACTTGCATTCCACTTCAACCTTCCGCCAGTACCCATTATTTTGAGTGTCCAACCATACCACTTCATGCATTGGCAAAGTGATGTCTCTCTCCACCATGATTCTAGCAATAGAAGGCCTACTAAAATTATGGATAGTTATGTCCACTTTCATAGGCTTCCCAAATATTGCTCCAAGAAAGTAAAGAACTTTTTGGTTAAAATAGTGGAGTCTCAAGCCAAGAATGGTTATCCAATTGGGTATTACTAGTGGTTCAGATGAGTTTCCCTCCCTTTCGTCCAACCTCCTTCACCAGCCCCTCCTGATCATTACCTCCCTCATACTCAACATGAAGTTTCTGTGGAAAATTAAAGTTGAAGTATCTAATGGTGTGTTGCCCGTTGCCCCTCAATATCTCAGCAAAGGTAGGCCCTGCCATTCTAGAGCATCAAATCATCAAAGCTGCCAATGAAACAATAACAAACTCAATGAAACAGTAACCTTCACCAAACCAAGGAAAAACCCACCAAAAAGGAGCGTCAAATTTTGAGAAAACCAAACTTGCAAGGCCCAAAAAGCAAAGAACAGCCAAAAAACCAGTGAAATCCTAGCAGAGCGCAAAGAAAGCAGCAACCTCCATGATATACATATATATATATATAATGGTAAATGTGTGTTCATATCCTATATTTTCAAAAAAGGCATGTCTCATCTTCATGTTCCCTTGTCTGCATCGTTGCATCCCAAGCCCATGCTCCACCTTTCTAACTCTTTCAGCACACAAGTCTCTTCCTCTTCTCACTCACGAATCCCCATCTCAAAACATCCTTCCCAAATCTTAACCAGATTCTAATATATTTCCATTAAATACCTAAAGAAATGCCCTTTGCAGAGACCCCACTTGCCAAGCATAAATACCTTCTTCCTAAGAATAATCAGATTCAGAGTCATCCTAACTTTAAGTAGCTTGGAATGTATGGCCTCACACACACACACACACAACATGAAATAAACTTTGAAATAAAATTCATAAAATACAAAATATATTTATATTTGAATTTTTAAAATTAACAGTATTCTTATCATACTTTTATCATTTAATCGCTAAAGATGATTTAAATGCACATTAATCAACATGTAGCAGACATAGCAACCACTCAACAAAATGAAATTGAGAAAATACATTACCGAGAATGCAGATGCTGCTGTACTGTCAAAAGGAAAACAATAAAATATAGCCATTTTCTAAAATGTACATTTATTATAAAGCATTTACTTTGCATTAGTCTTTCCTAAAAAGACGCTCAACTTTAAATAGGGAATAAAATAAGGGAATAAAATAAATCAAATAAGTAAAAATAAAAGCACAAATAAAAACTACCAAAACACAAAGAACTAAAGCTCAGGTGATGAATTGGTCGAAAGGATTTAGGATTCAAGATCTTGTAGATATTCATTATAAATCCTTAAATATAACATACAACTGCACCATCCCATAATATCCAATATGAGCCCGGCATACGTTCAAGATTTGGATATAAATTAAGTACAAAACTAAAAGTCTGTCTGAAGTGCTATAGCTTTTTTGTAAAGGTGCTTGTAAAATTATAATAAAGAAAATAACTTTTAGAAAGCTGTGGTGAGAATTATAAATATTATTTTTTCTACAACATCAAACAATAGCTTTCTTACAACCATCATATTTTAATAGATTTAGTTGCAAAAAACAACAAAGAAAATTGTGGGGGTATTCTTAAGCACAACACAGGCATAAAACTATCTCAAATATATCCTAACACTATTAAGTCAATCCCAAAGGGATGGGATAACGCAGTTGATGGATGATAAAGTCAAACATCCAGTTATTGATCCCATGTTATAAGTTAGATCTAATGAAGACAGATCATAACAATGTTTTTAACGGAAGAGAAATTCATAAAAAGTACACAAAGGATACTTTCAAGCAAAGCTGCAAGCTTCATACACAGCTCACAAGACGAGAAACCACGACATACACATTTCATACAAAATCTTCAAACCTACATTCCTTAATAGAATTCTAGCGTCTCTTAGCCTTGAAGAAAGATAAATAGAAACGGCATTTATTTTAAAATATATCAATGAACTTTCAAAATGTTAAGAACTAGCTGTTCTAAAGCAACATTACTATAAACAGAATTAAAAATCAACAACGCTACAGTCAGTTTCAATATATCCCACAATGCCTTTCCATAGAAAGGTCCTGAAACACAAAATTAACACAAAAACAAATTAAACTAAAATTACATTAATGCAGACACAACCTGTCAAATACAAAAAGTACTATCACATACCTAAAGAGTAAGTAGGATGGTTTTCCATTCTGCAAGTATGGAGAACATGGAAGTGGATCGACTATATCTTAACTACGCTCATTAACCTGCACGACCAGATTGGTCATTTGTATATGGCACTATCGATCCCTCTCCTTCCTGCTCATTACTAATAGTCTCTTCAAAAGCCACTGCAAGGAACTCTGCGAGGTTCTGCTTAGGTTTGATATCAATAGCATTCTCAGCAACTTTGACTTTCTTTGTTGTTATTGATTTTGGAAGCCAAGACTGTGGTCCTGAAAGGGGCACAAGAATATTGCCAATAACAGGCTTCAGCTTACGCCAGGGGTCCTTAACCATTGATTTAACATAAAAGCTATCCAATTGCCTTCCTAAACCATAACCCTTATTATGAAATCCTCCTCTACCCCTTCCACCACTCCAGCCTGGACTAGGGCTACCACCCCTGTACTGCCAGCCTCTGCCACTTGAGTGAGAATGGGGACTGCCCCTCACATCAGAGTAGGCACTACTCATTGGACTTTCTCCAAGCCTGAAGCTTGATAGAGCACCTTGTGACGAATTGGAGTAATAACTGTGCCCTGAAAAATTTCCAGACATATTTCAAGGCCTGGAGAAATTATGAGTTCCTGAGTTTCCTGATGTAGGGCTAGGATATTGAACTGGACTTCTCCATGAACCACTCTGAGATCTAGGCAAAGGGGTTTCATAAAAACTTGGACTTGGAGATGGAAATTCACGTGCATGATAAATATGGTTGGATAACTTATGGTACTCCATTTGTCCAGCTGCAATGTTAATTAAAAAAAGTTAAACAAACATGCCCAAGTCATTCTGAATATAATGTAATGAGTAAAATTAATTGTATTTGATCAAAATACTTCTAGAGGACTTAATATTGATATTCTAGGAAGGAATTAGTTTGAACAGCAGTTAAATGTCTCTTTAAAGAAGAGAAAAAGGTTCAAGTAAAATTCAATGAAAATCAAGGTGTACCACATTATAGTTGGGTGTATTCTGATATTTGTTAATAAACTAATGATATACAACAACAAGTTTTATCACACAAAGTGGGTTGGCTACATCAATTCTTTTTCTCCATTGTATCCTATTGAGAGTCGTATTTTCATTTACATCTAATAACATAAACCCAAGTCCTTTTAGGTCTGCCTCTACCTTTCTTAACATAAGTCAAATATAAAACATCTGCTCTCCCCATCAGATCATCAGATAGTCAACATTTAATGTGACCAAACCATCTAAGACAACTCTCTTTAATCATGTCTGCCATTGGAGCTACACCAACCCTTTCACGAATACATTCATCACATTTTATCGCTAAAGTGTCAAACCACTCATCCACCTAAGCATTCCCATTTCAGCAACACTTAAGTTAGTTTTTTTCTTCTCTTTTAAAGGCCAACATTCTGCACCATAGAACATTGTAAGTCTCGCCACCATCTTAAAAAATTTTCTTTTCAAGTCTAAGAAGTATTTTCTATCACACAAAAGGCTCAATGCATTTGTCCAGTTCAACCAACTAACTTCAATTTTACTAATAACATCCCCATATATCACCATCACTTTGAACAATAAACCCAAGATATTTAGAACATTCACACCTTTAATGATTTGATCACTTATAGTTACAACTCTGCCACTAGATCTACTACTAAATTATATTCAATGTATTCAATTTTAGAACTACTCAAACGAAGACCTGCAAACTCCAAGGTACACTTTCATAGTTCAAACAAACTCCAAGGTACACCTTCATAGTTCAAACTTTTTTCTGGACTCTTTCTCTAGTCTTATCCACATAAAAGATATCATCAGCGAATAGCATACACCAAGGTACATCCTCCTGTACATGTCCTGTAAAAGAATTCATAAATAAAGCAAAAAGATATGGGCTTAATAGGGCTTAATATCGATGCAGCTTAATATCGATGCATAATGTAATCCAACTGAAATAGGAAAATACTTGGTTAATCCTCCTTCTGTTCAAACACATGTAACAACTCTAGTCTACCTTTAGACTCTAATGTAGATCTCAATAATTCAAGTTTTTCCTAACTCTTTCTCTAGTATTATCCACATGAAGGATATCATCAGCATAAAGCATACACCAAGGTACATCGTCACGTAAATGTCCAGTAAAAGCATCCATAACCAATGCAAAAAGATAAGGGCTTAAAGTCAATCCCTGATGTAATCTAATTGAAATAAAAAAACACTTGGTCAATCATTCTTTTGTTAGAACATAAGTAATAGTTCTAGTATAAATATCTTTAATGACTTGAATATAAGACATATCAAAATCTTCCATTTCTAGAACTCTCTAAAGAACTTCGCTTGGAACCTTATTGTAAGATTTTTCTAAATCAATAAAATTCAAATGTAGATTCTCCTTACTCTTTTTATACTTCTCCATCAAACCTCTCAATAAATATATAGGTTCCATAATAGACTTGTTTTACATAAATCCAAACTGATTATGAGAAATTTTTGTATCACATCTTAACCCATATTCAATTACTCTCTCTCATAATTTTAATGTATGGCGTGTTAATTTAATTCCTCTATAATTTGCACTCTTGTGCATCCTCTTTATTCTTAAAAATGAGGACCAAAAATACTCTTCCTTCACTCTTCATGCAACTCTTTAGTTTTTAAAAAATTATTAAAGAGTTTAAAAAGCCAAGAAACTCCAAAATCTCTTACATGTTTCCACTTTAATTGGGATATCATCGGGTCACACTAATATTCCAAGCTTTGTTTTGTCTAAAGCCTCCTCAACTTCCCTTTTACTAATGTGACGATAAAAATAAAAAGTTTTATTATTATTAACGATACTATGATCGTTATGAAAGATCGTATTTTTAGAAACTTCATTAAAAATTTTATGAAAATATCACACCAACCTATGTGGAATATCTTTCTCAAAGAAAAGCACTAAGTTGATTTTCATCATTAATACACTTTACTTGAATTAAATCATTTTTTCTCTTTGTTGGCTAGTTTATACATATACTTTTACGCTCTTTAGTATCTAATTTATTATGAAGATTACTAAAAGCAAAATTCTTAATGTCACAAATTATTCTCTTAGGCTCCCTACGTGTCACATTATATTTTTCATAGTTTTTAAGCTTTTATATTTAAACTAATTTTTATAACAAAATTTCTTATATTTTATCTTTTCTTGCACATTATTATTTTACCACCAACTAGTTTTATTAACAAAAATTTTTCTTTTTGATTTTTCAAGTACATCTTTTGCAACTTGTTTAATAGTTTTTCAACTTTATCCCACTAAAACTTTACTTCTTCATGAACATCCAAAATTTTGAAATGTTGAAGTTTACTCATAAAAAAAAAAATTATTTGTATCTTTTAGGTGCCCCATCTAATTTTATAAGCATGCTTCATTATATTTTTTTTATCTTCTAACTTCTTATCTTAAAATTATGAACAAATGATCGATATTGAGTGCTTAAATTTTCAGTTGAAATGACATTACAATTTTTACATTCTCGAAGATACTTTTCTCATAAGAAAATAATCAATTTGTGCTTTATTAAATTCATGCTTATAAGTAATAATATGTTCAACCCATTTCTTAAATAAAGTCTTAGCAATAAAAAAATCATAAGCTAAAGAAAATCTAATATGTTTCTACCTTCTTCATCAATTACTCCAAAACCATAATCACCATGAATATTTCTAAAATCTTCAATCACTCTATCAACATGTACATTTAAATCTTCTCCCATAAAAATTCTTCCTTCAAGATATTATTTGAATTAATTCTTCTAAGTGATTGCAAAATTTCTTTTTTAAACCTATATCTAAAGTTACTTGAGGATCATAAGCACTTATAACATTAAAAATTTTAGTATCAATAATAATTTTTAGGGTTATAAATTTATCTCTAATTCTATTAATTTTTACAACATTATCTTTCAAACTCTTATCTATAATTGCACCTACATCGTTTCTAGTCTGACTCTTACATAAATACCAAATATTAAAACCTAAACTATCAATCTCATCAGCATTTTCTCCAGCACATTTAATTTCTTGGATTCATAAGATATTTATCTTTCCATGTCTCATAATATCTACTAATTCTGTTATTTTAGTTGTGAGAGTACCTATATTACAGGATCTTATTCCTAATATTAATTTTATGGACTAACTTCTTTGTCCACATCCATCCATAATGTGGGAATCCTTGCTTATTCACGACACCAGGGTGTCAATGTAGTGACCCTTAAACACTTTTCACTGTATTCAGACCATACAATTTTTCACTTTCAAGAAATGTCCTAACATTTATGCAATTATTTAAAGTATTCATATCATGATTTTTTAACAAAATTTTACTCTAATTGTCGACTAGCTAACGCAACCCTCCACTTTTCACATTCGGGACTTGAGAACCACTGATAACAATGTTAATAAACTAGTCATATACAAAGGCAAAATAAAATTTAGAAGTGAATGTGATTTAGGAGGTTACACAAACCTTAAAGTTTATTCTTGACAAAGAATATAACATGTGGTGATAAAAATGAATTAAGAACTCTAACCTTTCTTTAATAACTATATTTTTTGTATTTTCTTTTCAGTAAATCATGCATATGATATGTCAACCAACTGTGAGAATTGATTAAAATTCTCTTAATTTTACTCTTTGTGTGTATGTTTCTATGTTTGATGGAATTTCACCAATTTTGTGGTTTTTCGGCTAAGTTTATTTTATAGTTAAGCAAAAATGATTATCTTTCAAAGTTTTTGGTTAAAGACTAAAATTGCAAGTTTTTAGTGGTTTCTTTTGGTAGCAAGTTTTTGTGGTATATTATTCCATAGCAAATACTTAATAAGGATGATTTTCTTTCCTGGATCCTCTAATCGACCAAGTTGTGGGGTATGATACCTTGCAAGCATTTTGAGAATTGTGAATTTCTAAAGATATTTTTTATTGGAAAATTCCAAGGGACGTTATGACCATAAAAAGTGGGTGCAAAGCATGTAAGAGAACAATTTAATATATTACTAAATAAACTTCTACTTTGGTGTGTAATACAATCTAGTGTTCTCGCTAACCAGGTGGGGAGCTAAAGATTTTTTAGAGAGGATACTTCGTCATGCAAGCAGGAGGCAATTTGATGATTAATTTCAATGTAGTTTATTTATGCTATCTACATTATGGTTCTTGGTTAAAATGGCTCGTCTAGAGAAATTAATCAACCGGAGTTCAATGAACCGCGCTCAAGTCCTTCATTATTTAACCTAATCAACCGATTGGAAGCTATGAATTTTTACGCAGTAAAATTATCCTAGTTGTGTTGTAATTGGGTCTTTAGCTATCTAGCCCGGTCAAATCGGTTGACTTAAGATGATAACCATATTAAGAATAACATTGCAATCAGTCTGCTTGTTCAGTTTGAAAATGCTCCATCGAGTCATCAATGATATAATTTGATGTCGTCAATAAAACATCATTGACAAGGGTAATCATAGAAATTGCATTGATGGAGAGAGATCATCAATGGAGTCGATGTTGGTATAGTCATCATAAATGGAGTCATTAATAGAGCAGTAATGAATGGCGTTGCATTGGCATAAGATCATTGGAGTCATTCACAACATAAAGATCAATGGAGTCATTGTTGACACAAATATCATAAAAAATGGTTGCCTTTGATGGAGATACCATCGATATAAAGATCAACAATTTGTTCTTTGCAAAAGATCCACCTTTGTCATTGACACAAAGTTCATCAAGGAAATGGTGGTTGATAGAGTTAACATTAATATATTTTTCATTGATTGAACAGAATGCAAATGAAAAGTATCGACAGAGTCCTTCTTAGCACAAGCTATCATAATGAAGTAAACATTTCAATCATTATAAATATAAGTTGTCA